AAGGGAGGGGTGGGGGAGGAGTGCCTTTTGTGTAAGATGTGGTTTCTCGCTTTCAATATCCTGCTTCTTGTTGTAAATAGTTAATAAATTCAGTTGTTTTATTGTTCTTCACGAGTCATGTCAGTCTCTTGCCCGTGACCCTAAGTGGTGAGTGAAAAACCCTCCCGGTTCCCTGCCTCAGCCCACCAGGTGTTTAGAAAACTGTCCCCGCGGTTTTATAAACCACAACACAGGTACTGAGAGCCCTGCAGCCCCCCAGGGACTCACTGAGACAAGTGTGTCACAGGCAGCGTGGCACTCTAGAACGTATCCCTGGGATACGACAACATGATGGCCGCCGGTGAGTTACCTTTGCTGGAGGCTACAGCCCCTCTAAGCACATCCCAAAGGGGACAGTGGGGAGAAAAAAAAAAGAAAAAAAAGTGTTAGGCTCCTGAAATGTGTGTCCTCCCTGTGACACAGGTGTGGTGTGTTCACGCAAGTGGACGTTTTCAAGGGCACCCATCAGCAGGCTGATGCCAACCCACCCCCTTGCATCCAGATGATGAATGAAACATGCAGCTGAACCTGATGCTTCCCAAACACCCCATGCCAACCTGCCCAGAGCACCTGGGTGCACGGGGACCCAAATTTCATGGACTGCCCCAGGTCCAAATCCTCCCATACCACACATCCCCTAGAGCTGTCCCTCTCAAAACTCATCCTTTGGTGCACATTTATGTCACACTTGGCCGCACAAAGCCCAGGTAACTTTCTATTCTCCCCCTTGTAGCAACCATAGCCTCCACGGACATAAGGCTTCTGCTGAGAGATGACATTTTTGTTGACTTTTTCAACACGTTTCTGAATCTTCCCGTAAGTCCACTCTGCACGATGAAGCCCAGGACCTTTCTAAGCTCTTCTCAGGTGAACTTTCAGCTTCTGTGGTGTTAGAGGCCCCAGGAAAGTTTGGAATATACCATATACTCAGGCTGGAAACTGAGGGAAACCTGAAGACCTCAGCTTGGAGATAGAGGTCTGAAAGGGAAGGCAATGCCCTTCTCTGCAGCAAGGACTAACTAGAACAGCTGGGCTCTGGGCTCCCCTGCCACCCTCCACCTCTTTCAGCTCTCCCCTTTCCTTTCAACCCAGGTTTTTGGCCAGACACCCATTTACGTCAGCGGCATGGGGCAGTGGGACCTCTGGCCAGAGCTGCCGAGCCACCTGGTGAGAAAATCCCCCTTGCGAGGAGGGTGAGGAGGAGGGAGGAAGGGAGCAGGGGAGGGAAGGAGCTGGTGTCTCATTGCCAAGGCCACCCTCTGGCTCTCCTGTTCGTGCAGCTGGGGGATTATTTCAAACCCAGGTGTCATTTTGCTTTTAAGCCCTGGCTGGAGCACAAGCCATTTAAAGTCCTGCTGCTGCTCATGGGGTCCATCCAGTCCTTGGTAAACATGAATAGCTGGAGTTCAGGAGAGCGTATTTGGTGCCAGAGAAAGAGGACACCAACCCCTCGTGTCCTATATTCCCCCTGAATTCACCAGGAGTGAAGCCCTGTTGATCCTCAAACCGGCTCAGCCCTCCCCGTGGACATCCCCCTTCCCCACAGCCACGACCGTCGTTTGTAGCGCTCAGTTCCCCTAGCAAAAAGGAACCCGCTTCTCTCAATGCTGCCAGAAAGCTGCCATGCCCTCCTCTCCGGGCTCCAGGAAAGCCGGCAGGCTGCGAGGAAAAGCAGCTTTGCAGGCAGCCACTCAGCCCTGGGTCTCCCAGGTTTACAGACAGGGATGTGGGCAGGGTCTATAGCTTGAGCATCCCCCTTTTTTCACAGCATGGGGATGGTTTTCATCGCTGTCTAGCAACAGGGCGCCTTCCCCTGCCTCCTTCCCCCCTAGCAGGGGCCCGTTACTCACCCTAATCCCCAGGCAGGAGACGGCTCCTTGCTCACAGCCTAATCCTCTTCTTGGGTGCGGGGGGTTGCAACGCAGGATCCCAGCCCCCGGGCTTTACTGGTTTGGTTGGAAAAGCACCGGCTGCCTCACTTCTGCAAATCCAGCCTGTGCCTCCACCTCATCCTCTGCCAGAAGCTCCTGGGTTTCATTCGGTCGGGGGAAGCAGGTGAGTCATCGCGGCACGGAGGAAATCGGAGCAAGCGGCTTTGCCACTGCAGCAAGGCTTCCTCTTGCCTGGGCTGTGACCACCCGGTGCCTGCCCAGTGGGTTGTGTCTCTGCTCTGGGTTAAAAAGGCATTGCACATTGCGTTTTTAGGGATGCAGCGGGATCCCAAGGTTTCCACGGGATGAGCAGGGCTTTACTCCACAACCCTGCTAGTACAGGCTCGCTGCCTGCACGGAGCTGAGCTGAAATAGCTGCTTAGCAGGGTTGACCATGTGGTTCATGGGTGGAGCGGGGCTGGAGAGCATTCTCGGGCACGGGAAACTGGGGTCCTGATGTTTGAGGTCTGCTGGTGCACAGGGTGCGCAGAGCTCTCGCCCCATATTGCGATATACTCCTCGTCTGATGCATCCCGTGCCATCCTGTGAGGAACTGTGCTCAGTTTAGCCCTAAAATGAGCCACCTCAGCCCAGCCAGGTGCTTTGTCAGTCTGTGTGTCAACACAAGGGAAGGCCACTTGCAAAGAAAGCTGCGGTGGTGAGCATGCAGATTTTAATTTCAGAAAAATAAGCGATTCATCGAGGCTTGCTCCAGCGCTGTTGGTGCATGCATCGCTGCTGCTTCTACAGTCGGTTTGAACCTCAAGCTGAAAGAAGTTGAGGGCAAGCCCCAAACTCAAGCAAAAATGATGGACGTTTGCAAGGGGAAGAGGCACGATAGCTGGGCAGACTGTCCCTGAGCAGGTTGCGCTGCATCCTTGCAAACACCACGTGCGCATCCCACAATCCTGTCCAGAACTCCCATTTCTGTGTGATTTGCTGATCTCCCGGCTCACAGCACTGCTGCTCTCCAGCAGCCTATGTCAGGGAGGCTGGGGGGATGCTGGTGGGGTCTGGAGGGCTTTTTAGGGGGCTGCTGCTGTATGTACCCCCCGACGCCATGCTCTGCTCTCTCTCTGACAGCAAAACTGCTGAACTGGCACAGCGCTGACCAGTGGCTGCTGGAGAAGTGCATCAGCGGGAGCCAGGGCATGCGGCACTTTTGCACCTTCATCCAAGGAACAGCAGGTGGGCACGGGGCACTCCATGGCCCCTTCTCAGCCAGCCATGGGCCAGCTGCCCGGCGGGACACCAGCACAGAGCTGAGGGCAGGGGAGAGCACTGGTGGGACAGGTGACACTGCAGTGCCCAAGATGGCTTTGGGAGATGAGCCAGCAGCAGAGCCCCAATGTGGGTGCTGCACACTGGGGAGATGCATAGCCCTGGCTCTTCTCTACACTGTTCCCTTAGCGATCTTTCCTTCTTATTAAAAAAAAACAAAACCCAAAAAAACCAAAACCAAAGCACAGGCTGCTTTGCCCATCATCATGGCTTTCAGAGACTCCCTCCAACTCCCATCTGTTGTCTAATCCATAGGGGAAGAACTGACCAACTTCTGGCTCACCACCGAAAGGCTCCTGGGGCTCGACGAGTCGGATGAGAAGCAGAGGGAGCTCTACCTGTCCTTGCTTCACAGGCTGAAGGCCACTCACCTGCGCGAAGGCTCCAGCGTTGTCACTCTCTGCAGGACCGTGGTTGGTAAGAAACATGGGAGCCGGGGACAAGCAGTGCCCTTCCAGAGAGGTGGCCTTTCCGTGATGCTCCCAGGGAGATGGGATACCAGCACCAGCTTTGTTTGGCTGGGGAATGGTCTGCATGGAGCCATGTCCCCATCATAATCTCCTGCATCCATTTCAGGACCACTGCTGAAAGCCGAGCACGTTCAGCCCATCAGCACCAGGAGGGAGATCCTCAGCAAGATGCAGGAACGGGCCCTCATTATGATTCAGGGTTACTGGCTCCCTAAATTCTTCATCCACTGCAAGATGGGCATGGAGGAAGAGAAATCGTGCCAGCCTCTGCTGCAGGAATATCAGGAGCGTTTATTATGGGACAGCTCACAGGAGCCCTCAGGCTTTGCGGAGAATCTCTTCAAGATGCATATCAAACGGAGCCAGGGTTTGTCAGGGCCCTACTGCAGCAAGAAGGCCAAAGCAGAGATCTGGACTCTGGTCAAGGAGGGAAGAAACCCCCAAGAAGTGAAGATGCCCATATTTCAGGTGCAACCAGAAAGGCAGCCGGGACTAGCTGGGAGCACCAAGGAATCACATCTGGACAAGGATGCTTTGGGACTGATTCCTGAGCAGTCAGAGCATCCTGCCAACACTGCCTTTGGAGACAAAGGGGGAACAACCTCTCCCAAAAGCCCTAGATCCAAGGCAGAGCAGATCCTTCATCCAGAAGACCTCTGTGAAGACAAAGTCCTCTCTAACCTGCGTTCCTCTGCACCCCTTGTCCAGCTGCCATCCCTGAAAAACCCAGTCCAGACCCTGAGTTTCCTCCCCTGGGTGCTCAGCGCTGATTGCTGTGCGGGACGGCCCTTCAGGGACTTCCTGAAGCACCAGGGCTTGTCCATGGAGACTTATCTCCTGGACCTGTGGCATGACCTGGAGGAATTTCTTCCTGTGGTGCTGGACCCCAGCAGAGAAAACAGTTTCTTCCTGCGCCGTTTGATGGGGGAGAAGATATGCAAGACCTACCTGGGGGAAGGCACCATTCGGCAGCTCCCCCTGGAGACCAGGACTCTCAGGAGCTTGCGGGGCCACCTGATGTCTGGAGAATTCTCCCCCAGGATATCCAGAGCCCAGAAGGAGATTTGTGAGGTACAGAGCAGTGCTGGCAGTGGTCAGGCTGGGAGGTACAGCTGGCATTGGCACACCTGGGCTGGCATGAGGCCTGGGAGCCTGTTTAAGAAGAGAGGCATTTGGAAAATTAAGATGAAAAGCAGTTAGGAAGGGAAAACAAAACAAAACAAAAAACAAACCCAAAAAACCCTTACGGTTGCAAGCCACCTTGCACTGGAACCAGTGACCAAGATGCAATAGACGAGTGGAGAGGAGCATCCTGGCTGGCTTGCAGGGTGGTGGAGCAGATGCAACAGTCATCTAGCAGTTGGTGACTTCGGTTGTTAGATACACATGCCAAGTGCCGGGGGATGGCAGGACAGTGGCCGTCCTTTCGTGTCTGAACTGCTGCTTCCAGCACAACACCAGTAAAACACATTGACAACCCAATGGGCAGCCACTGAGCAGCCCAGTTGGCCAGCCTGGGTGTACAGCTCCCAGCAGAGCTGGCCTGGGTGTCTTGGTGAGGTGTCACCTGCCCACGGCATCACTGCTGCAACCTCAGGGGATGGCGGGGCTGAGGGGTGCCAGTCGCTGCTGGAGCACCAGCTGAGGACATCCCACCTTTGCTCCTCCTCAGGTGCTCTGCTGCTTCTACGAGGAATTTCTGGCTGATGACGACAGGACATTCCTACAGTTTATGGTAAAGGGGCCACACGGGGGCTGTGGGCATCCTCATGGGGTGCTCAGAAAGGAGTGGGGATGTGAAAAGTTGGAAAGAGGGAGGAGAAGCCCAGCATTAGCTGCAGTGGTCCAGCATCTCACTGTGTTCCCCAGCCAACGCTGCCGCAGGGTGATAGGGCAGAGCCCATCCTTCTCCGGCCACCTGGAGCGATGATCCTCAGCTCTTGCACCACAGCATCCCGTAAGTCGGCAGCGCTGCAGGCATGGCCTGTGAGAGCCTCTTGGGCAAAACATTTCTGGAAATTAACTCTTTTTTCCTTGCCGATAGCAAATACTGCTGTTAATGTGACTCACACGCAGACACACACGTGTACGCCCCTGTCCCAGCACGAGCGCCTGGCCAGCACGCTGGGGGAAGAGGGCACACAGCCTTTTAGCCTATGATTCAACCACGCTCAAGTTTTCCACATATTTTTTCCACTGTGTAAAGGGATGATTTAAGAAAGCAGAGTCACACAAGCACTCATCTTCCTGAACTATTATCTGTCTTGGCAGTATAAATCCCAGTAATATCTCATATTTATCAATTCCCTAAACACTAGCCTTACACAAGGAAACCTCATCCCAGATCCCCAAGCATCCCACCTTGACTTCAAACCAAGCGTTAGGGTTTTCCCTAAACTGCGATGTAAAATCAGCAGCTGATCCTGGAAATGGGAAGGAGAGGCTATCAGGACTAGTGCCCCCAAAGACCTGGCTCACAGAGATGCCAGCATCTTGGTCAGCGAGAGCCGAGCGTTTTGGAAAAGTCAGCTGGCAGCTCCTGACCCTGATTCCTTAAATGCTTTTGGTTGTAAGTTAATTAGCTGCCTAGGTTTTCAAGCATCTCTTGTAGAGGAAATTACCCCTCAGAGCACAGACCTGGTCTGGGAGTGCAATTAGCACTTCATCAGGCATCGAGGCCACGTTCTCTGAAGGCACCGGGCACCGGTCCCTAAGCCAAACTCCTCCCGGGTCTTGCTGCGCTGATGTCAGGGGAACTGCTCGGGGGCTTAGCAGGGTTATTTTTGGTGCTTGCTCTCAGCAGCATGTATCTCGGTCAGAAACCAGCTGCCCTGTCCCCGCCGCTTGGCGAGTCCTGCAAACCGCTCACTGGCGGGGACAGCCAAAACCTGCAGGAGGGTCTCGGGGGGGCGAGGAAGGCACTCCCGGGACACCAGCCAGAGCCAGTCCCAGGGCCAGCAGCCAACAAGAAAGGCACGCAAGGTTACCTGTCTGCCAGGGACACCTTCAGGGTTGTTTTCAGCCCTCCTGGGGGGATGTTGATGTCTCCAGGAAAGCTCCTGCCTTTGCTGGCAAGCCCTTGTCTGGACCTGCTGCACATCCCCAGTACATCCCAGCTGCAGGCAGATGTGAGCCAGCTTTAAGCAGCTGCATGGGTAGGTTTAACATCTATGCTGAGCTTTTTGCTCATGGAGATTTCTTCCAGAAGGTTTAAAGCTAAGGCAGATATCTAACTTGAGTAGTTTGCTTGAGTAAAAGTGCAGCCAGCCCATCGGGCACGGTGCAGGAGCAGCTCCTGAGGTTGGGTATGTGCTCTGTGCAATCCCCCTCTGCTCTTCTCGCCATAGTCTCAGCCGAGTGATGCCCTGATGCCTGAGATGCAAGGTCATGCTGTTGGAAGAGATGAATATTTCCTCCTGTCCCAGCGGATAAATGGGTCCTTGAAGCTGAGCCAGGCCTTGCACGGCACGAGGAACTTGGAAGGTCTCTCCTCCAAGCACTGGCGAGCAATTGGCACTCGGGACCTCCGTAAAGGGGGCTCCATCCAGGCGGAGGTGGAACCTCTCCTATGCAGGACCGGTAAGAGGAGCTTCTGAATTTCTGCCAGGGCTTCTGTTGACTGATGAAGCACATTTCATGTACCCATAGTGCATCCTAACACACAGGCTTTGGTGCATTGCTGTATTGCTGGCAGGGCATGGACATCATGGAGTGGGTTGGGACAAGGTATCTGGAAGCCATGAGCTGTAATCCAAGCTTTGGCAGTGGCCTGTGGGCCAAATTCCCTCCTGACAGTACCAGAGACACCAAATGCCTCATCCCTGTGCTGGCCTGGGTCACCAGATCAAATGGAGGCAGCAAAGTGACTGAAACCCAAAGCCAGCAACAGCCATGCTCATTCCACTTCCACACCTTGACCTTATCCCGTGGACGCTGGGACCAGCCATGCTGGCGTAACACCTAAGCTTTGTCTTCTCACATCATCTTTTGAGAATAACATCAAGTTTCCGGGTACCTGTTGGTGCACTGAGAGCGACACCAGTCACCTGTAGCAAACCATAGGTAGCTTGTGGGGCCTCGGTCATACCTGAGAAATGCAGTGTCACAGGTAGATCCTGGGAACAGGACACACGAGGAGAAAGGAAAATTGAGCAGCAGTCACAATCCACCACTCGGAGCAAGGGCTGTCCTAGCCAGGAGGAACAAATGTTGGATCTCTCCCCTCTTCTGTCTGATGCAGACTCCTGGAAGATGATGAGAAAAGAGATGGCTGTTCAGAAACCCCTGTTGGCTGTGGATAGCCCAAGAAAGAAGAAAGAGCTTCCACGTCTCAAAAGCCCACCAGCTGGTGAGTCCAGTCTGAGCAGGCTAGAAGCAGGGTGGGCCCCCAACCACCACAGCCTTGAAGGTGCTCCAGCATCCCCTTAGGGGACCGGACAAAGAGGGGTCTTCCCTGCTTGCATCCCATCATCTGGTAGAACATCTCCAGAAGGAGAGAGGGGACTAGCCACCCTTGAAAGGCATGTGTTTTGGGGTGTTCATCCAGCCAGAGAAGGTGGGAATGGGAGGGCTACTCTGAAGCAGATGCCAAGGAGGTCAAACCACATGGAGGTGAAGAGGAAGAAGTGTCACCTGAGGAAGGAGCCAACCCTGTTCTGTCCCCACAGCCATTGAACCCGAGAACAGAGAGGAGAGCCCTGTTCCTGGCAGAGAGATCAAATCAAGCGTGATGAAGTCCACAACTGCTCCAGTAGAGAAGCCATCCAGAAGACCCAGGTCTGGCACCTTGCAGCACACAGCTTTGATGTTTTTTTACTGTTCACAAGGTTTTTCCCAGTGCTTTCCTGTAGTGCGGCGGGTCCCTGCTTCTTCACTGGGGACTCCCAGATGTAGGCATGGGTGGCCTGTGGGTCTGAATGTAGAGTTATGAGGGAAAAGAAAAAAAATGTTTTAACACATCCCCCCAGGTCCATAGGTCAGATTGACCCCTCACATCTTGTGCATGTCTCATGCACTTCATCCTCAGTCAGTCCCTGGCTTGGCACCTGTACTACAGCTGGGCAGCTCTCAGATTCCCAGAAAAATCACTTAAAAGTCACCCTGTGACCACACTTAAATCTCTGTACTCACTGACCACGTGAACTTCCATGTGGTTCAATGCCTCACCTCCTGGGAATACTCCAGACATGAGTCCTTGAAGCTCCATTTTGGGATATAAATGGTAACCAGGATACAAGCCCTCAGTAGGAGTAGCTCTTATTATTTGTTAGGAAAGTCAGTCTCAGGAGCCACACTTAAAGAAAGAAAATATTTGACCCAGTCCACTGATCTTCAAATAAGGGCTTGCTAACCTCCCAAATGAGACAAAATCCCAGTCCGCTCCCAGCTCTGGTTTTCCGAAGCTCTGCTGAATCTTTTCAACGTAGCTATCCTCTGGCTTTACACCTATTGATAATCTCCTGATCTACCAGTTGCAAGCAGCAAGGGTTCTCCACTCCAGAACATGCTTTCCATGGCCAAATGCATGCCATCCAGTAGCAAATTACTGCTTATTCTCATCAAGAGCCAGAGAGGAGCACAACCTCCTCCTCCCACTAGTCCTTCCAGGTGCCCCATCCTTACCTCCCTCCCTCCCCTGGTCTCTGCGGGGACGCCCAGTGCATTTGCAGTTTCTGAGCTCTCCATCACAGACCCAAAGTCCTACCTTCTCCTTGACTCCATGGGTGAAGCCTCCTCTTCAGGGTGAGACCAGTTCCTCTGGACATATGTCAGCAAAGCTGTTGGGCACATGCACCTATGGCAGAAAAGGAACAGCTTGTCAGGAGAATTCCCCCTCTGGATTCCCAGCAGCTCAGTGGGTGATGATCTTAAAAGTCTTTTCCAACCTAAATGGTTTTATGGGCAAGACAGATAAGGGAGGTTGTGCTCCACCAGTATTTTCCAGGTGGCACAGAAATCACACCTCCTGGTGTCTCCTCCTCTACAGGCACTTTGTGAAAGTCCTGCACAGCCCTGCCCACCTGCAGTTCTTCAAGCAGTTCCTCAAGGAGCGCAACGCAGATGAACCATTGCGTTTCTGGATAGATGTGGAGAAGCTAGTCGCAGAGACCAACCCCCAGAGGAGGAGAACCCTCCTTAAGAGCATTGTTAGAAAATATTTCCATGCTGAAATCCCACCTGGTAGGTGCCCTCCCACCCTGCACTTTACTCCATTCATCATTAAAACCTTGGGGAGAACCTGAGCAGGATGCTGGTTGCAGATTTTATATCCTTTGGCAGAGACCTGCCCATCCTCTTTGCACGTCCAGTAGAGCATTTGTTTGCTGAGCCCTTCCCCTGCCACTTATATTTCTGAGAAGGTTGTCTACTTACTTGGCAGGACCTACTGACCAAGACCTGCAACATGCAATTCCTGCAGTTGCAAAAAGAGTCATTCCCTATCTTGTCTCCTTTAGATGCTCTGGGAGTCGCAGCTTCACTCCCAAAGTATGCAATTAGCACAGTATAGAAAGGAAAAGGGACGAGACCACCAAATTCAGCAGACAGGGCAGGCAGAGACGGGACAGGGTGCCACTTGAAGATGTGAGAGTAGGAAGAGATGCCATGGTGGCTTGGGGGTGGCTGGCAGGGACAGGTAGTGACTGCTCTTCTCTTCCAGAGGAGCTGCTGGACTGCTGCTCTTCAATCATCAAAGATATAAAGGAGGCCAAAGTAGTCAACCCCTACATGTTGATGACAGCACAGGTCTTTGTCCAGAAGGCAATGGAAAAACGATGGTGAGGACCTGGGCTGAGCTGGTTCCCAAGTCTGGTGGTTACACAAACACATCCTTCCCATGGAAATCCCAAGGTGACAGACAGCAACTGCTACAGACATATTTCCTTATGAACTGTCGGCCAGTGCATCAAAATCCCAGCCAGACAAAGCTGCTGTTGCAGCTGCTGATGCACTTACCTGTGCAAGGCTGACAGGGCTCATCCCATGGGCACCAAGTCATTGTTGGGCTTGCAGAGTGCTGGTCTGGAGGAGGAACCATGCTGCAGATAAGCAGGGTGGACACTGCCAAGCCTGCTACATGCAAGAACAGAGCCCAAGGGAGGGGATCCAGGCCCCCGTCCCTTTCTCCAACCTCCTTCAGGAACAGAAGTCCCGTGGGACCCCACCCTCCCACCAAACCACTGCTTTCCTCATGTATCTGGCTGCTCTTGACGCTCTCTCTCTGCTCTCCCATCCGGCAGGTTCAAAGAGTACCAGGACCTGTTCCCTCTGAGCGATCCACTTATGTCTAACCTTTGTTTGAAGTATGGGAGGGGGAGCTTCATGACAGACAGGGTGGTAAGGAAAGACCCTCTCTGGGTTCCCAGGCTGGGGATGTTGTCCAGGCAAGAATGAGAGGATACGCTGTAGGTCAAGCAGTGCTCACATGAATGGGGTGGTGGGGGC